TACTCCGAGGTGGTGACCAGTGCCCCCGGCACCATGAGCCGGCCGCGGGCGGGCGTGCAGTGGGTGCCCACCTACAGGCCAGAAATGTACCAGTACAGCTTGCCAAGGCCCGTAAGTGGAGCTTCTCTTTGCCACACTGTAATGTCAGAAGGGTGCTTCTGTTCTGAGCCATGTTTTTTTTTTAAGTAGTCCCATTTAGGTGCTTAAAACCAGAAAAGAAGTATGTGTAGGGTGATGTGTATATATATATATACACATCTACATGTGTGCTTGCCTAGACACCAACCTAGATTTGCAGTTGGGCTACACACATACACCATGAGCCACACACGTACACCATGACTGACTCTATTTTATCAGTATCTATTTTAGCAGCAAGGTTGTCTTGTCTTAGTTGTACTAAGATTTAAAAGAACTGGCTGCAGAATAGGCTGAAGATTTAAAATAGGCTGTTCAACAGACCCCAAACTCTTGGAACCCTGGCTGCTGAGAATTTTAGACTTTCTGTACTGATAGGCACTGATCCCCAAGAGAACACTGTGTTTCACCTGAAGCTGTAGAGAAAGCTTCCAAAATTAAATGATAGAGCTAAGATTATAAGCGTATTGTTTGAATAGAAGTGTGTAATATCACATAGTGGAAAACTGAGAGTTTTAGAATGTAGTAATATATTTAAAACAAGATAGATGTTTTAAGGCTGGTCCTTAAGACTAGATAGACCTTTAGAAGCTAGTCCTTCTTTTTCACCTTCTTGTTCATGGGCTTAAGTAATATTATGTAATTAGATTAAAAAGTCCACATTATGAACCACAGGTACTTAGTTATTAAGGTAAAAGTAAAAATATTTGACGTAAAATTTCTTAATTAAACAGTTTTTCCTTAAAAAGCCTTGTAGAGAGAGAAATATGACTCCATTTTCAGTTTTTAGAGTGAAGTGCTGTACAACTCACACTAAACTTGTTTGCACATCTCCTTCTGCTCAGGTAATGGATATTAGGAAGCAATGTGGTTTTATGGATTAACTATGGTGACATCTGGGTAGGGAACACCAACTCTTCTGCATCACTGGGGAGGTTCAGCACTGAAGAGCAACATGAAATGTGGGCTGTAATTGGCAATCTTGCACTTACAGCTATTAGCTTGGGTCTCTAGAGAAGAAATCTAGAGAAGATTGAATTCCACAGGTCTCAGCTGATCTTATAACTGACTTTATCCTTCGTTTTCTAGCCTCAAGCAGCTCACCTTGCAGAGTAATACATGGATTAGGAACTTGAGCCCGAGGGTGGAAATTGTTAATGGAATTTTGTAGGGGTCTAGACAGCAGTGACACTAGCACTGTGCACACCCTCACGTGAGAAACTGCCCCTGAATTCCCACATATGGTAATGTGAAACTCAACAATATATTTTCTTTTGTGTCAGATACAAATTAAACCAAGAGGTGATTGCTTCCAGATAAGAAATAGCCCATCTAACAGTGCCAATGTGATAAATTGTTCATTTTAAGGCCTTTTTTTGGTCATAATATTTTTTTAAAAATATATTTCAAATTGAGTCCCTAACACTCTGGCTAGAATAAGAGGATAATGCAGAAAAATGTCCTCAGTTCAAAATCACCCTTACCATGACTTCCTTGACCATAAAAAATACATTAAGGGATACTGCTTCTGAACTATTCTGAACACAGCTGAAAGCCAGTGGCACTGCCTGCAAAGGTTCAGGTTGGTGCTATTTAAATCATGCTTAGGTTATTTCTGGCACTTTGAAATTGGTCCGATGAAATTCGTACAGCATATAATCATTTTTTATGGTTAGAATTCGATTAAAAGCTTAAGAGACAGCTAATAGGGAGTCAAATTACCTTGACACTTAAAAGAATCCTTCTTAAATGAAATTCAAAATATTATATGGTGAGAGGTTTTTAAAAAAATATAATAGCCACTCTTCTCATGGTGAATGATTCACTGTTGTCTTTCTAAGACTTATTACTCTCCTAAATCATCTGCATGTTTGGAACCTTTTGCTTATCTTTCTGGCATTCTGAAGACAGAGTTAAATAGTTGAATTCCCTGCAGATAGTTGATTGCCACAGATGAGTATAGGCACAGACTGCTGGGCTTTGGATAAGGGCTGGTAATTCACAGTTTCTGCATATCGGTTTCATGTATATGCACTGTGCTTCAACCACCCCATTTCCTGGTTTGTTCTCATGGGCATGGGGGGTTGGAATTGAAAATATCCCCATCTTTGGGGATGAGAGGTACCTGTGCACTGGGATGTTTGTTGCCTCTGTAAATCAATAATTAGTAATTTTTCCCTTTCTTAAAATTCAGTTCTGAGTGGCAATTAGAAGTCAACATCAACAATGCTGTTACAATTCAAACCACTGAGCATTTTGAAAATGAAAATTTCATCTTTGAAAATTCAAGGGCATTTTGTCTGCTTAGATGGAGCAAGTGCTGAGGGGTCCAGAGCCACTCTTTAGTTCTGTGTCGCTCCTGGTGTCCTCCAAATTGTGGATCTTTATTTTTTTGTTATCAACTTCTTGGCTAGTCCCACCATCAATCGTTTGTGTATCTCTCCAGAGTGTGCACACATTTTTTTTTCCTTCTCCTTTTTCTTCTCCCTTTTGAGGCATTCTGCGTATTTTTTATTTGTTTGTTTAGGTTTTTCTGGATGTGCTGCCATTAATACTGAAATTATCTGTAGCTCTTGTGAGAGAATGCCTGTTTGCCAACCTGCCTGTTGGGTGACCTGTGAAAAGAGGATTCCTCCACACGGGGCTCATGCCTTCTCCTGGCAGAGGAAAGCCAGTGGAATGCAAACTCTCCCTGTTGTTCTGGAGCTTCCAAAACATGATGAGTAACACTTGGCTGAGCCCTTGGCACCCAGCTGGTGTGCTGTGACTGGAGGATGGAGGTAAAGGGTTGAACGTGTGACACCAACCACCACCTCCGTGCCTTGGTCGATCTTGTTTGGAAACTTGCTTTGGAAATGTGCTCAGCTGAGTCAAGTGAGAGCTGAGAACAGAGAAGAAAACCCTCTCCCATCACAAGGCTGGACCAGTTTCCATCTCCTCTTTAGTGCTCAGGAAAGAGGAGTGAGAGTCACAGAGCTCTGGGTCCCAAAGTGAGAGGCAGCACCACAAACAGGCACTGATGACCAGAACTTAGAGCCTGAGAGACTGGTAAAGCATCCCTGTCCTCAGAGTTCCCCTTCATTTAGCAGGGGTAAAGCAGGAGTATTTTACCCAAATTCAGCCACTTTCAGTAACAGCTGCTTAGTATGAAGCAGGACAGCTATAAAGGCAAAGCCAAATCAATAAATTTGCATTATTCCTGGATTGCAATGTAATAAACAAGTTAATAAACAAATAAGTTAAATCATTCCATGAGTTAGCAAGGACACTGGCCTTTTAATTCCTATGGTGAGATGTAAAGAGATGGATATTTCTGTAATTAGGAAGGCAACATAGAATACTTTCACTCAGGACAAATCTGTGAGTGGAAAGTGGTAAAAATATTTAAATATTTGTGCTAGGAAAATGTAGCCTTAAAGCTAACTGCAAAGTTTCTGCTTTGGACATTAGTTAATTTGTGCTGAGCTATGAACACAGGCTTGGGTTTGTTCAGCCTGGAGAAGAGACAGCTCCAGGGAGATTTTAGAGCACCTTCCAGTACCTAAAAGAGCTACAAAAGAGCTGGAGAGGTATTGAAGTGGAGGGAGACGACCCATCTTCCTTGATCAGCATCGACTCCGATTTATTGATCAACCAGTCACTTTTTATAACCGTGTTAATTAAGTTCATGCATATTGCAAAACCCGAGCTCACAATAGGTCAGAGATAACACACCAACCCCTCCTTTTGTTTCCAATACCAAGATTTGTGTTCTCAAAACTTACTTTTACTTTCCCAAAACAGCCAAAGATAGAATATCTACTTGTTATGAGAAAGCTGCCTGAGAACTCTGGTATGCAAGGTTCTCAAGGCCTTCATGTTTGTCACTTTTACTTGTAATTAAAAACAACCTGAGAACTTTTACTGTTTACAGAAACAGGCTGTAAGAATTTGCTCCTCACAGCTGCCTTCTAAGCCATTTCTGAAAAAATCTCCAACAGAGAGGGGCTTTTTACAAGGGCAAGTAAAGTGGGAATGACTCTGAACTGAGAGAGGGCAGGATTAGATTAGATGTGGGTAAAGAATTCTGTACTGTGAGGGTGCTGAGGCACTGGAGTAGGCTGCCCAAAAAGTTGTGTGGGACCCATCCATGGCCAGGCTGGATGGGGCTTTGAACAACCTGGTCCAGTGGAAGGAGTCCCTGTCTGTTGCAAGGAGCTTGGGCCTAGATAATCTTTAAGGTGCCTTCCAAACCAGTCTGTGAGTTTTCTTTTCTCCATCCTGACAAGTGGTACCTTGGGCTCTCGTGGGTTGTAGGAGACAATGGTGTCTGCCAGTGGCTGGACTTTATCCTCCAGACAATTTATTGTCCTTGGCCCAATGGCTGCTAAACTGCACTTCTTACTTTTAAAAGTTATTTATTGGTTTTCTTTTTAAATTGTCAGTGTTCTAGCCACAGCAGACTCCTTCACTGGCATTTCTTACTGAAAGGGAGGCATGGGGTCTGCTCTCTGCTACCTATGCAGTCTGTCCTGGGTCTCAAGTGGGATTGCCTCTGCCTGATTGTTATAGCCTTTGTGTTACAGACTCTCTCATTTTTCATAAAATAGAGTTTGGAACCCATGCAGAATGTTTTCCTTCTTAAGATTGTTTTCTTTTTTTCTTTTTGGGGCTTTTGGTTGGTTTGTTTGTTTTTGTCTGGTTGGATTTTTCTTTTGCTAAAAACCAAGAGATCATTTAAAAAAGATAAATATTTGAAGAGTAAAATTAGGCAAATCTGTGAAATCAGCTGGGTTGTGTTTTCTGTTTGTTGTTTTCCTCTCTGACTCATTTCACAGTGGTGAAGTGACTTTAATTCTACAATCAGGCCCATTGGCCAAGGGCCTGAGGGCTCATAAAAATCTTTAACAGGCATCTGTGGTAAAACCTTGGCTTCATTTAGCTTCTGAACACTTCTTTCCCATTTGTATGTTGCCTGCAGGAAAACACTAATGCCCCAACAGGTTAGAGAAACTCTAGAAATTTCTCTGGAGTTCCCTCCCACAACCAGGTTGGTGTGTGGCATCTCAGGGCCATGAGGGCTGACTCCTGTCCCTGCTGGACAAACAGTTCCTCAGCGTGGTGGAGCAGATCTTTTTACAGGATTTTTCACTTTAACAGGATTCTCTCTGCCCAGCCATTAGCAAAATATTGCCACTCACTCAAAATTGCTCATCTTCCGTGTAAGCAGCAAAATAAAGGCTTAGATTTTCTATTTTACTTTTTTCCTCAAAATTTCCAGTGCAAGTCACAGCATATTTGTGAACTGTGATGCCTTAAAATACCTAATACCTCCTTTGATGTCCCTCTTCCAAAGCACAGCACACAAGAGAAAACCCAAATCTGAGTCTCTGCCTACCCTGCTAAACTGTCTGGAGTCGCTTTCCACTACCAAACATTATCCCAAGTGCTGTTCCTTTAAAACAGGGGGATTAAAATAGATTTCATGCTTGGCACAAATGCATGCTGAGAGCAAGATGTGGGATGAAAGGCTCGTGGAGCCAGAAGGGAGAGTTCAGGCAGCCTGTGAGGGCTCTGCCAGCCTTTGAGATGCAGAAGAGGCACTGCAGACCATTCCACTTCCAGCACTATCAGGAGAAATATAATTGAGGTTTTCTTTGATGCAAATAACATTTGTTTTTCCCTTACAGTTCTTTCATTAAAAATCAAGTGTTTCTGACCCCTGGCTAAGAAATGTAGCAGTGTCTTTTTAGACTTCTTTTTTTCCTCCCACTTAAATGTAGAAATGCTTTAAGTATCATGGTAGCATGGTGAAAGTAAATATTAGGAGAATTTGTAGGTGGCATGCAAGAAAAAATTATTTTCAAAGACATGCCTTTGAGGGTTTTTAACATGTTTTAGAAGGGGTAGCAGTGAGAGGACAGAAAGATGCTGGGTCTGTACTGCTTTTCCCTTGGAGACACATCAAAAATCAATTTGATAAGTTACCTTTTCTTTTTGTTGACCTAGTTTTGCAGGTATTTGAGAATGAAGGCATTTGGAATATGGTCTAAATGTGTAATTTTACCAGATGATTACAGAAAGCTTTTTCTGATATATAATGTGGGATTTATATTGCCAAATTCCAATCTAAATGTAGGTGGTAAGTCTGAAATAATCATGTAAATCCTGTAGGCTCTTTCTCTGGGCAGGAGACAGAGTGTGACTCATCCCATGTGTTTTAATGTGCTTTTAACTTTCACTGCTGTTTGTGGAGGAGTTTCTCTAGGTAAACCAGATTCCTCTTGTTTAGAGGGCCAAAGTCCCACCACTGGACCCCTTTTTAATTTTTCAAAATGCCAGTGTCTTAATAGTGGTCAGCCTTCCCCAATTTTTTTATTTGTTATTCCTCTGATTTTATCTTTATTCCCATGCATTGCTTTGAATCATCGTCATGCAAACCACAACTAAAAAAAGAATCACAACTAAATAATAAAACAAAAAGCAATAGGAAAACAAAACCCTCACCCATGATGTAGTGAAGCATCTAGTGAGATATCCTTCCTCTATGTGTATTTGAAAAATTACAGCCTCTAATCTATAGCAGTGCAAAGGATTTAGGAGGAAAATTTTGTCCTTCATGTCATTTCTGGGGTGCCCTGAGTTTCATGCACATAATTAGTCCTCCTTCACATGTATTGGTGATAAAATTCAGAATTACTGCAGGCAAGCTGCTTAATTTTGTGATTTTGTGGGTGGGCCTGGTGTTCCTCTGGATCAGTCTGCCTTTTCAGAACTGTTTGAGGTCCTTGTTGCTGTTTTGGAAAGTTACAGAATTTGGGGGGTTTTGTGGAAATTTTTTTTTTTTATCTCTCGAGGGCTGAAAGGAAGAGGTTGAAATATGGGTTGCTCACAGGCAGCTTCACTGCAGTACACACTGCTCTGAGGGTTCTTTCTGAATCTTTGAAATACTTTTTTCCTTGAGAATGTGAAAATACTCAGGTCTTTTCCCCATGATCCTGAGCAGTTGTTGAATCTCACATAATCACAACAGATCTGCTTTGCCAGCAAGCTACAAATGTCACAGAGACAGTGTTTAATATGTTATATCTTGATTAGACTTCATCTTGTCTCTGAGCTAATTTTCAGGTTTTCTTCCACATTCAAAAATCACCAAAGCACTGGAAATTCCCAAATACATACAATTATTGTTGATGCCACAAAAAGTTAGCTTCCAGTTGACTGGCACACACAGCAAGTATTTAAGTTCTGATTTTGTTTTGTTTTTCAATTTGACTGAGACCTACTGGTGTTTCAAAAAATATGTATTTTTTTTCTGTTACAGGCTTATAGATTTTCTCAGCTTCCTGAGATGGTAATGGGTTCTCCTCCCCCTCCTGTCCCTCCCAGAACTGGTCCTGTGGCTGTTGCCTCTCTCAGGAGGTATTTATCTCTTGTTTTATTTTAGGCATGGTCTCTAAAACCCACTGTCATAATAAAAACTGGGGCAAACCCTGAAGGAGCACTTAAAAAGATACATTCCTAAAATTAGAAGCATGTTGGTTTTGTTTCATTTTAACACAAAATTTAATAACAATGAGTTTTCTGTTAGCCAGTCTGCGTCAATAAAATTAGGAGCTGCAGGCTCTTGTTTGTTTTAAAGCATTTTTTGCCTCAGCTCTCATAATGATGTGCTGGATTGAGGCAGATAATTCACACCATCATTCATTCTTCTGCTTTCCTGAAATTGCAACATTTCCAAAGACCTCAGCACTTCCCAAGTACAGTAATGTTATTTACCACAGTGGTCTCCTACTGTATGATACCATGTCATGTGCACTGTTGTGACTGTCTGTAGACTGTGGTGGTGAATTAATTATGGTAAAGCTCTGGTGAATTAATTATGGTAAAACTCTGGTGAATTTATGGTAAATCTCTGGTTTTAGTGTTGTGTTTCACAGGCATTTGTTTGAAGCAGCAAGCAGAAGCCCTGTAAGATGCTTTGGTAAAAAGAGCAACCAAGCTAAAAGGGTTGTTTGCAAACTTCTCCAGACTTCTCCAAAATTCTGTTGTGCAGTTGTTCTCCAGGCTTCTGTCATGCCAGAGCAAAGTTGGGCAGATTGCTCCTCGCTGGCTTGTCCTGCTGGAGCTGATAGGCGTGTATGTGGCTACAAATCACATCTGTAGGTCAGAATAACAAAAAATTTGTATTATTTTTCTTTCTTAACACACAGGTCTACATCAGATATTGGCAGCAAAGTGAGAATACCTGAGTCCAGTGGAGCAGATCAGGCCCAGCACCATGACCAGACACCTTTTGCACCGGGTTCCAGAGCTCCCATGTCTGTCGGTCCACTCGATCAATCTGCTTTTCACTCAGGTGACAAAATTGGGCAGATTCAACTTTGAGAGTCTTATGAGTTATTTTGGATAGAAATGAAAGTATGGGATATAGCAAATAAGGATGATTATTTGGAGAAAGACTGTATTAGGTGGGGTTTCTCCTGGTGCAGCTGAAGGATGGCCTGTCCCTTTGTAAGTGCAGCACCAGCTGCATCCTAAAATACTCATCCTGCAGTAGCACCAGGAAATGGCCTTTTCTGAAGGTAGGATGCAGCAGTAATGTCCCAGATGTTCTGTGTTCAAGAACTCTGAATTGATAAAACCCAGTAAAACTGTTCATTTGTTCAGCAAAACCCAGTAGAATTTTTAAGGAGGATCTAGAAGGTGTTGGTAGCAAAATAAGTTGCAGTATTGGGACAGCTGTGTGACTTTTTTGTGTTGCACTTTGTACCAACCAAGCAAAGTGGGAGAGACAGGCAATGGGGGAGAAATGAGTTAGATCCTTGCAATATTTTGTCAGTCAAGAATACTGATCCAAGTGCTTGAAAACTTTTTTAAGGCTCCTGATTGCCTCTTGAGAAACTTTATCCCTACTCTTGTCACAACAGTGGGCTACTGAGGAAGGCAAATTGAAGGTACATGGCCCCTTCCCTTCAAAACACAAAGCAGTGGTGCTATTGCACAGTCAAAGGTAATCTGTTAGCTCTTCACCCTTCCTGTTCAGGGGAATATAGTTTCTGCCCAGAACTTGTTTTGGGTCTAAAAGTCCCAGTAGTCAGTTCCTGGTCCTTTTGATAGGTATTTATATATGAATATGTGTATGTGTTTATAAATAAATTGATTTAATCATAGATGAAGCTGATAGACTTGATGGTGTCTGGAAAATATTTAGCTGGAAAAAATACTTCAAATGATTTTTTATTGGCAAAATGTGTTTTCTTGCAGAGTTATGGAAAAGAGCTTCCAATATTCAAAAGAACTTTCCATTAGTTCAAACCTTTGAAATTAGTAGTTTGTTAGATATTGCTCTGTTAATCTCCCAGAAAAAATTCTTTTTTAGCTTCCTCAGAAGTAATAGAGAGTTATCTGTATTGTCTTTGGCATCACTGACTGAGAATCATGATGTGGCTAAGCAAATGAGTTGTCAATTAATTAAACAGAGTAGGTTTGCAGGATCCATTCTGCTGCCACTTATTGTCATTCCTTCTGCACATGGTGCAGTACCTGAAAGCAACAGATGCTCACCCTCCCATTTCAAAACATTTCAAGCTATGAAATGTGCCACATTACCTAGACCTCTTCTTTATGTGTGCAGTAATGGGATCTCTGGGATACACTTTTTGATTGGATCCAGAGATGGGGAGATTTTATTACTGTGTGTTGCTGAAGGGTGGCTGCAGTTCAGAAGAGACAAAATGACCTTCCTGTACATTGTGGAGTTTGCCAGAATAATTCTGGGAGTAGTTGAAGGAAACTTTCATGTATGTAAGGTGCTACAAAAGGCTGTAATACAGGCAAGTAAAGACAAGGACATTTGAGAGAAATGGGCAATTGTAATACAAGATTTCTAACAATCTGATATTAAAATAAGTTTTTATAGCCTCAGTACATGAAGAAATATTGCTGCAGGTGCTAGTTTGGAATGTTAATGCCCAGTCTCACTCTCATGCAGCCCAGCATCAGCTCTAAGATAAGGATGTTGCAATAATGGTTTAGGATAAGGTATAATATCAGCCAATTGAATATTCATTTTGAGTAGTACCTCCTTTTGCTGTGGTTAAATACAAAGTGTGTTTTAGTGTAGGAGCCCTTTGCCATGTACAGGAGCAGCATTTTCTTCTCTGTACATGTATGAAGAATGCTCCTTTTCAGCCTTGCTAACTCATTTAAAATAGCAACCCTTGTGCTCTTTATTGCCTGGAAGGACAAATGATTGACCAGACCTCTTCTCTTAGCCCACCCTCTTCCAAACCATGGGGCTGGAGGAATTGGGATAGAGGTGGTGTGTTTCTGCTCTGGAGAAAAATGTGCTAAAAACCATATTTTACTCCTCTTCTGTTACTCCTGATTCCATCCATAGCAATTCTGGCCTGGGACTGCATGGGAGGTCATTGAGAAACCATAAATATCTGGGTTTATGGAGACTGCTTTGGGGATGGATGTCACTGGTGGAGTCTTTATGTCTCTGTGCACCTGCCCATGCAATGTCCCAGCATCTGTCAGAGTAGGCAGGATAACCCTCTGGTAGATTGTTCAGGAACAAAAAATGTGCCAGGGCTGTAAATGAGATTCTGGGGATGGATATTTGAAGCAGTCAGTAATTGATGCTAATTCAATTATACTCCATATGAATTTCATGGGCCTTCCCATGTCTTTGTGATTTTGTCAGCATAGTGGTATCATAGCTACTGAGAGCAATTAGCAGCAATATTCAAATGATGTGCAGTTGGAAGGGGAGAAATTTTATTTTCTCTGCATTAATTCTACTATAGAGAATCTGCCCAGCTGTGTAATGCTACTGTGCTTCCATTCCTCAGTGAAAATGCTGGAGTTGTACTTTGTTGTGGTTTTAAAGGGCTTCCTGCCCTTCTGCTTTCATGTAAATGATGTTATTTTTGCTATCTGAAAAGTAAAATACATGTCCACGTAATATAACTGAATAAGCTGAAAATCTAATAACTGATGAAGAGGATATGCAGCTGTCCCATCCAGGATTTAGGGCTGAGGATTTCATGCCCTCAGTGTGATGTTGGTGATTCACTGCTGGAGTCTGTCTTTGCATGTAAGTAGACACTAGAGGAAGGAAGACTTGACTGGGCAAGAAAGTTGTTTGTAGTCTATTTTTAACTAGGAAAATACTCGGAGTTATGATAGCAAAGGGAATATATCAAGAATATCTCAAGGGAAATATGCACATTAGGATGCTGGTCATCCAGACACTCCAGTGGATTATCTCTGTAGCAAATTGTTCTGTGGGCCACAGGAATCAACCTTCCCTGAAAGCAGATGTGACCCTACCCAGAGATTTGGCTGAAAACTCTGGCTCCTTCCACACAAATTGGAATGTGAAAGTGGGATTTTAATCCAGGAGGCTTCCTGGATATTCCTATGGCATGCATCTTAATCAAGAGGTGATAAGCCAGATTTGGAAATAATCAAGAAATATTTCTTTGAGTTGTAGCTGTGTCATTTATGGCGGCCATAGACTGTTCTTGGGAAAGGAACTGGACGGGTAGAACCTTGGTATTTTTTACAGAAGCATTGAAGTTTTATGATGGAATTGTTGAGAGTACAGCCTGTTAAACATATCAGTCACTCATTTTTGTAGGTTTTTTACCTGCATATAATACAATATAGGTATTAATCATAATATTAATAATATAGATATCATGAAAGACTGGGTAAACAGTGAAAAGAGAGGTGCATTACACTGAAACCCATCGTAACAACAGCTGAAAATTGAATACAAGGAGGCAAACTTAAGGGAAAAAATCCTTTTCTTCAATGAGTCAAAGTTTTGACAAAGATAATTTGTTACAAGGATCGAATCCTAGGGACTCTTTAGCTGAAGGCTGTACCTGGTTATGAGGACAACTGCAAATTTTGCCTTCTCCAGTATTTCCCAGCATTATGAAGTTGCAGTAGTCAGATGGTAGGGCAAAAAATACCATAACAACAAAACAAACCAAACCCAAAGCCCCAGACAAAAAAAAAACCAACAAACAAGCATGAAGTCCCTATTTCATAAGCACTATAATCTGATTTACAAAGGAAAATCTCAGCTATTAATGATGCCTACTGTTTTTTTCTTTGCCAGGAAATACGGTACCAGCAGTGTTTGCCATTCCAGCAAACCGACCTGGCTTCACAGGCTACTTCATCCCAACTCCTCCCACTGCCTACAGGAACCAAGGCTGGATGCCCTATGCTGGAGAGAACGAGTTGCCAGGGCAGTGGGCAGACTCTGTAAGCATCCTTGCTTTTCTAACCACCTGTTTTCTATGTGTTTTGCACAGGAGGGATTTTCAGCAATTCTTCACTGGTCGACAAAGAAGCAGAAAAGGATAATTTTTCCTTGAATAGGAATAATCTCTAGTAGTGAAAAGCCATAAGAGATGGCTTAGACGTAGATACTTCAGCTGTTCAAGCAGGAACTGTGGGCAAGATCTTTAGAGGGTGGAATCCTTCACTAGGTTAGGGCTTGGCACCTGTTTAAGTTGGTGGGTTAGGTGTCATTTTCCTTTCCTGAGAAAGGTTAGATTTTTAGATAGACACGTGTCAGGAAAAGGAGATGCTGCCTCTCAAGACAGTCCTGAGCTGTCTGAAAGTTGGGGAAGCATCTTACCCTCCTGGAGGCTTTTCTCAAGACAGCCTAGCTCCCAAATATTACCTTCCAGCACTGCTGCAGCCCTGCTGTGCAGTGTTTCAAATCCTCCCAAAGGCTGCAGTGACAGATCATAAATTAAATAATTAATTGCACAATCCCAGACTGGAACAGATGTAATTTTTAGCCCAAAGTAAACCTACATTTCAAAGAATTGAAGTTGAAACATCCTAAAATGAATTGTAGTAGTTTATCATGTTTGAAACAATTTCTCAAATGTAGGGCTTTTTTTACACAAGGGAAAAAAAAGATAAATTCTTCTGCTTGAGCTCATATCTGGTATCTATGCAGAACCACTCTGGCTAAAAAACCTGGAAGACAGATTCAATTTCCTTGTGCAAATCGTCAACGGAACATTTTAATGAATTGCAGTTGAAATCTAAGTTGGCTTTGAGCAGATAAGCAGGAGACAACACAGTCATATAAATGTTCCTGGGGGCAGCTTTTTTTGTTGTTCACTCTTTATTACTGCTCCCAATGCCTGTGAGGAAAACAAGTCAGTATGACTTTGAGGTGCAAGTCTGAATTTGAAGGCTGAACTGTCAGGAAAAAAAAATAAAGCTGTTCATTTGTAAGCTGAGCACACCTGCTGATGTGCCCCTGACACCTGGAGGCTTGTGATGCTCTGGTATAAATTTCCTTCTCAGAGCTGCCTTTTAAAACATGAAAAGCTTTATTTTCCTTTGTTGTTTTGGTGGGGGTTTTTTGTTTGTTTACTTATTTGTTTTATGTGTGTTTTTAACCCTTCTTACATCTTAAATCCAGGAGGCCCATTGTATCTTAGCAACGATTTTGAACTTTTTCTCTAAGGGAAAAAGCCATGAAACAAATAAGGAAATTTTACTTGTTTCCCATTCATTCTCCCTTCTGTATCCCTACTCTTGATTGCAGTCCTGCGGAAATAGAGTCAGGTATCACTTGTCAAAAGTGGAGACTGAAACAAATGGGTCAAAACTGCAAACCAAGTCTCCAGCCCCCAGCTCCTTCCTCTGGAAAGTGAAGAGTATAAACCTGTTGTGGGTTTCTTCAGGAAAGAGGAATGAAGAGGGATGTAAAAAACTGTCAGAAAAATAACCATGGCAATATAGAGCTCAGAGGAAACAAATGTCCCTTTTCACTTACCCATGGCAGAGCTTTAACAATTCCTTGCTGGTCAAAATTTCAACCCTCCAGTGGCTTTGCAGAAGGGTTAAAAATGTAGAAACTACTGCAGTTTCTATAATGAATTTGCAAATCTGTCAGGAAATTGTCTTTATTTGAAAATCATTACTAGAGGAGCTAGTAAGAGCATTAGCAATCTAGCACAGTCAAAAAGCCTGAATAAAAGTGAATAGCATAAAGATCTGAAGTAATGCTCAGATTTTCTCACTAATACTCTGGGCTTGAATTTCTGGACATGTATTAGTTTTTGAGCCTTTAGATTATAGCTTGATCACACTTCCAAGATTTTCTTAAAATTATTGAGAACAGAGGCTAAATATCTATAAGATTCTTCATTTTCCACACATTTCTGCTAACCTAGACTGTAAACAAGGGAGGAAACAGGAGATTTTACAACAAGGAACTATTTTATAAGCACAATTACTGTAATATATTATTCTCTGAGACAAATGGTAAGCATTGAAACACTAAGTTCTGCGGGACAATGAAACTCTATCCACAAAGCAATTATTTTCCCCGCTGCTGGATAATGCTTAGTGAAAACAGGAACTTGGTGGCCTCTAGTGGTGTGATCACATGTTGTTCTGGTACAATCACCTTTTGAAGAGCCTGTTGTAAACTAAACAGAGGTGCCTACATCTAATGATCACTTTCATACCATACCTGCTTCCTACATTTGTCTCATCACACCAGAGTGAACATGTTTGACATTCTCTTCAGCATTTGATGGATACCCAAGGCTGTGTAGACGTCAAGCTTCAGGCATAAAGCCTTCTTCAAAATTAAGGCCTGTAGATTCCCATTTTATAGACTTTTGGGAATCATAAATATTCATTTTTTTTATGCATTAAAATCTTCTAAGTGCCAAAAAGACTGGTGAAAGATATTTAATCTCTCACTGTGACTTAAGGGCCTATGTTATTGTTTTACTTTTAGCTAACATGGGGCTTGTAAATCTGTGGAGTTAAAAAAATTATTAATCCCTCATGTAATTCTGTTAGACATGGCCAGAAATCCTGACACTTCTGAGCAGTCAAACATCCCTTTGGGCCTTGAATTTCCGAGCTGGCACACCTGAGCTTATCCCTGGTGTCTGGATCTAGTGAGTTTCTGTTAGGACCAGTGAGGCCAGACACTTGGCTGGCTTGGATTAGCTAGAAATCAGAAAACTGCTTTTCTGTTACAGGTTTCTGGTGTACTAAAATCATGCTGTTTGTTTAAAACCAAAGTGTTTGCTAAGCAGAGAGCTCCCTTCCAGAAAAACCTTTTCCCTTGGACTTTTGGAGGTGATGATAAATGAGGACAAGCAGATGTTTCTGCTGCCACAGCTGGGATGTGCATAAATGGCACATGCCAAGACAGGCATGTGTAGGCAGAAGCATGTGGCATTCACATTCTCTGAACAGGGGGAGACATAATTCTCTCTCCCAGGATTTTTCCTGGAGAAGCACAGAGAGAAGAAGAGAAAACAATTCTTATCTCTATTCCCTGCTTCTGTTGTTTTTGCAAATGTGGAATGTGTTATGGAGATTGCTTACTGAGAGTGCGTTCTTAATTGGATTCTGGTGATGGTTGTTTATATTAATTGGCCTATTAGGTCCAAGTTGTGTCCTGACTGGAGACAGTCATGGGTTCTTTTTTAGTATCTCTTCAGCATAGTATCTCTTTAGAATAGTATAATGTGGTAGAATATAGTTTTAATAAGGCAATATTTCAGTCTTCTGAACCATGGAGTCAGACGCCAATCATTTCCAGACACTGGGGTCACCCTGAAGCTGGAAATTAATTCTGAGGTTTGCATTCCCTTCCGTTGGTGCTCTCTCTCTCACCTCTGCCCCAGGGAGGTTTGCGGTCGCTGGCGGATCGATCGCTCCGCATAACCCTGTGCAATTCCAATTCCCCGCAGGTGCCCCTGCCTGGCTACATCGAGGCTTACCCGAGGCCCCGCTACCAGCACAACTCCCCCTCGAGGCTGCCCAGGCAGTACAGCCAGCAGGGCAGCCTGCACCCCAGCCTGGAGCAGGCCCCGCTGGCCTCCGCCGCCGCCTCCCAGCACAGCCTGGCCGACAACGACCCCTCGGACGCGCCGCTCACCAACATCTCCACGGCTGCCCTCGTCAAGGCAATAAGGGAAGAAGTGGCCAAGCTGGCCAAGAAGCAGACAGATATGTTTGAGTTCCAGGTCTAATGTATCTTCTGTGCACGGTGTTTGTGTCGTGTGACCTGGGGAAGCCAAGAAAGCAGCTTCTTTAGTTTTCGGCAGCAAACTTTCTGTGAATTGTGCCAAAGCGATGGCGTTTTAATCTGTCTGAAAAGTCAACACTATGAAATGACTTAAAGCAGAGCAACAGGGCTCTGAAGACATGAAATTCCGCTTTCCAGCTAAGGAAAAGCTGCCAGGAAACTGTTTCATACTGATGAGATCAACCATATGCAATTGTTTGTCACTTTGCTCTCGTATTATGACCCATCCTCACTAAAGATGCTGCTGAACATGTCTGTGCCACAAGAAGTTCCATTTACGGGCCCAGAGGCAGAGCTGCTGAAAATAACTTCTGCATGCCAAAACTTTGATAAGAGAAGAAAAAACCTGCAGAACAGGGTTTGCTGGAGGCCACGGCTGGCGTGGCAGTGGCTGTGTTAATTGTTTGCTGTGGGACATTGTATAAGGGGTGCTGATTTCAGCAATGCAGAGTCATTTCAGCCTTTTCATCCCAGCCACTGTATTCAAACCAAAAGAATTCAACACAATTAAGTAATACAAATAAAAGTCCTGTACATAGCTCAGAGTCTCTTCATCCTATTAACAGTGCAAAGAAGTGAAAGAAGAGAGGACTGTAGAGAAGGTGAATGACATTTCCATGATTGGTGGCTACCTTGTCATTCAGTGCCACTGATGAATTATGGAGGAGATTTTTTTTTCAGCGTGAAAGAATACAATGCATGAAGAGCCAGCAAAGGACATTGGTGCTAAAAGCTTCCCAGATAAATGAAAAAAGGTTTTTCCTGTTTGCTCTATAATCGGGCTTTTCACTCTGAATGCATGTGAAGCTGGTAAACCTGAGACCTTTAAATCCTTCCAACCTGGAAAAATGAATACACCTGTTTGGACAGGGAAACCTCTGTTCAACACAGTGCTTTTTTCCCTCTTTCTTTAGCAATGCTATCTACTAAAGTGATGCCAGAAAGTGCTACCTGAAGCTGCAGTTGATTTTGATTGCGCTGGCACGGTGAATGCGCACCCAGGAAGTTCTGAATGTAGAGGACCTAATTACTATATTAACATGTAAATAAGTTAACAGCTACATGGATTAACAAAAATATGAATGTTCTGTGAAAAAGAGAGCATTGCCAGAAATGATGTTGACTTCATATTGTGCAAGATAAGGGTCACTGATTGTTACACTGCGTTGTGGTAGGAATCCAATCCCAAAAGAAAATCAAACCACTTGGGATGGAACAGTAGTTAACATTTTGCAGTTGTACAAACTAGTTGGAGATATGAACAGTTGTTTTCAGTTCCTTCAGCAATTAGCTTCAGGAACTGAAGTTGTTGCAAAATTTGTTGTGTTGGGCGTGTTTGATGTCAACTGGAGTTAAAGGTAATGTCCTTCATTTCAGTGGGTTATTTAGTTATCCTCAATTACTATTTTGTCTGATCATTTCATTTCTCTGAGTTTCTTTGGTCTTAACTGATGTGAGAAAGGGAACTTGGTTTAGCTTTTTTGGCCATCAGTAAATTGAGAGAAGGAGAAAGAAGACTAGAATAGGGGATAGAAGAAGAAATTGATGAAGCACAAACTTTTAAAGCAGAGCTATTTTTCCCCTTAATAATTATACTGCAAACCCTGAGACTGTGATGCGTAATTATCCTAGAATATACAGACATCCTCTGCTCCAATACCTTGAATATTGCAGAAGCATTTGGAATGATAGCTAATCTTTCAATAAATGTGAAATTTCATTTTTATTATTTAAAATCAGATATAAATAAAATGTATTTTTGTAATTTCTATGTATATATTTGCTGTATATTTATATAAGTGACTAGTCTGCTATAGTCAGAAAATTTCCATAAACTAAGTGGAAAAAGAAAAAAAAAGAAAGAACAAACCCCTGATAATTTTACTGATCAGTATAAACATGCTATGTCTGGAGTACACAAATATACAATTGGTTGACTTGGATACTAAACAACCAAAGAAACTCAATTTTTCCCATAAATGCAAGTCTATAAAGGCTGACTGCTGTCTCAGTTACCTGTCAGCCAGGTACTGCTGATATTATCAGTGTAATACAACACAGCCAAATTGGGTTAAATGAATAGCTGGCTAAGAGCATCACACTTTAAGAATAACAACTGAAAAATACTGGGCTAAACTCAGGCTACCACAGAAAGACAGGTTCTGGTTGGCTTCAGTGGGAATTTCACTCACTGACAGCAGGGTTTATTTTCTCTATTGGGCTTTGTCTATAAAAGCAAATTTCACTAGATCCCTCAAACAGAATTCTGTTTATTTTTCAGTCAGTTGGATCACTGTAACATGAGTGCAGACATAATGGAAGAGCAGCTGATTTTATTTAGCCTCACCTAGTTCACAGCTGCCTTGGGCTAACCTGGGAAGTGAAACCTACACCAGGTTGTGCCAGCCACATTCTGCATCAGCTTTATTATCAGTTTTTGAATGATTCTTCTACTAAGCCCAGTGAAATTTTGCAAGGAAATGGCTCCTTCTAAGCAATGGGGGTGAAATGTGCTGTGTAATAAATTTCTCTAGCCAGTTTTGCAGAGTTCTCCTGAAGCTGAAATTGTGCGAGCAGCCAGGATCCCATGGATGAGCACGCTGAAGCCATAGAGGTGGGAAGGGAAATGTAACAGTGTATTCCCAAAAAAGTCACAGGAAGCAGGGCATTCCAGTTTTAAACAGCATCTTTTGGACACTTAACTCTGTTTGTAAGTCTGTTCCCATTCTTAAATTGTGGCAATTTAGTAGTTCTATTAAAAATGTGCGAGGGTAAAGTCTCATACATTTTACACAATCATCTTGTATCTTGCCACACTGGAAACTAAAAATTTTGGAAAATATAGAGATGTCCAGGGTTTGGATGTCTGTAGAAAATGGAAAACCCCTGAGCAAAAGCATTTAAATAGCCTTCTAGAAAGAAAAACCATTTCAGTATAGTTAAACAAAGTACTCTTCATACTTCTGATGAAGACCTGTTAGAGATTCAAAATTTATTTTGTCTGGTATTATTATGGATGATGTGCAGTCTACTGAATATTTCCTGAATCATCACTCTGAAACCATTTTTGTGCACTTTATTCAGAAAACCATCTTACATTCTTCATTCATGATGCCTTTTTATCCTGTTTGTAATATGTTTCTGTAATTTTTTTTTTAAATATCAAGTCAGATTATATCAAGACAGGACATTGCTGGGAAAGAAAAATCATGCTGTAATATTTATACTGTCTGAGCACAAAGCAATGATAAAGTGAAAATATAGTGTACAAATAATTTGTAATATAATAAACATTTTGTATGGCTATGAGTACAATATAGTTTTTCAATACTGATTTCAAAGAAGAAAGTATTTGTGTTTAAAGTGATAATCTTGTCCAGATATATCCATACCATTTTTACTGAGAAAAAAGTAGTAATTTAGTTTTTTCTACTCAATGCCCCAATTTTCTTTAAAGATATGTTAAATGTTAAGGTGAAAGTACTGTTTACTGTGCACACAAAATCTTGATGTTCTGACCACTGTCTGTCTTCAGATTTGTAAATCATCAGTAGAAACAGTTGCAAACAAAACGACAAAAAAATTCCTTCTTGGTTTGTGTGTCCTGACCACTTTCACTTGGAAAAACACTTGTGACATTTATTAGCATCAGTAGAACAGTAAAAGGATAAAAGGGAACTTGTTGGCAGTAATTTCTTGACTTGTTGAGAGTCATTTCTTGACATATAATCTGTGTTGGAAACTCTAGCACTCAGTCTGGAAATATGAGTAATATTTTTATGTCATAATACTGTGAGTAGAACTTGATAGAGGTGCATGCAAGCCCTGTATATAGAAATGAGGGTATTATCTTAAGCTGTGATAATTTCTTTTTCAGACTCTCTTTGAAAGAGACACATAAGAAGTGTGAGGTAAAAATGAGAGGCAGGTAGAAAATGCAACATTGGGCTGAGTGACAGAATTGTTTTGTTTAAGGGCTGATATGTACCAAGCTGACCACAGTTTCCATTACATTTGAAGATGTCTGATTGCTAATGAATTAATGGCATTTAATCTATTTTTTTAGCCCTGCATTGCCAGTGTAAGAGCTGACTGCCAGCCTCTAGAAGTCAGAGGGAGCTTGAAAGCAGCAAGTTTTCTGAGCTCACTGCATTTTGCTGCCCCTGTTCATCCTGTGCACATCCCAGCAGTTCCAAACTCTGTGTCCAACCAGTTTTTGTCCTGCTCTTGAATTTCTTATACACTAACAAATCCCAGTGGCTTCCCAGCCCACACTGACATGAAATGGCAGAGGGACAGGGATCTTGCATGTTGCTCACACATACTAGAAAATGCAGCTTTCCCTTCACGGGTTAATTTTTAACTCCAGGAATGAGCAGCAGATTTCTTTTTTTGTTTATCAAAAGAATTCAAAGTTTTTTAAATTTTTTCTTCTCATTTTTTAAGGAGAAGAATACTCTCTGAGAATGCTTTTTTTGAACTTTTGCCTTTCTCTCAGAAATAAGTAATGCAAAACTCAACTTGTGGAAATGAGATTTATATATAGATAGGTAAAGAAATTGCCTACTGACTTGCTCTTTAAAAATCTTTTAAGATGACCAAGTCATAAAGGCAAAGCTGGTCAATACTGCAGATCCTCTCCTGAGAATAACTGCATTGCACAAAGTGGTTTAGGTGCCGATTTTAAAAATAGTTGAAATGCTCCCAAATCATATAATATTTCATGCTTTTAAAATCGCTTTAAGACCATATTCTGATGAATAAGGTATCATATTCATGCGTATCTATATATCTGTGTGTCAAAAAATATTTAAATATTTTTTCAAAACTAGTTCTATTTGTCCATCAATTTGTCCCCATCCATTTCAGGTTCCTTAAGGGGTAGAGAGGTAGTAATGAAGAGATAAATCTCAGAGTTGTTCTGTTATGAAGCTCATGGAAGAGGAGAAATGGGCTTTAAATAGTTAGGTGGTCAAATGTATCATTGATGTGTTGAAAATAATTACAAGTGTCATGAGGAGGTGTTTCAGGAGTTTGATTTTCTTTTTCTTTTTTTTGAATTTGTTAAAAATAATTCTTGTTTTAGGAAGTTTGACTTCATGAATTTTCCACACTCAATTCATAACCAAGGAGTAAGTTGTTACTATATTGCAGTCTGTAAATAATTTTGTAACTTTAGAAATTCACATTTAGCCACTGGGCAATAATGGGTGCAAAGGACTGTAAATCACAAAGAAAGATGATTACACTGAGTGCAGTATTTAGAGAGGAGGTGAATTTCTCTTCCAGAGTATTCCCTCTTCACTGGAGCCCAGAGCATTTCTGTGCTGTGTAAACCAGCCCAAACACTGGGGCATCAGTTAAGGTCTTGTGTATCTGGTAAGGAGATCTGGATGTAAGTAAAACTGAAATTTATTCTTTATCCTTGTCTTTATCTCATACTGTCCATGCTGCAATGAGGAAAAAACCTGAACACTTTTTTTGCAACAAACAAATTTTAATATTTCCTTCTGTGACAAATTGACTGGGAAGGCTTTTTCATTTCATCTTGCTGCTGACTTCTGCAAGCTGTATTCAACGTCATACTTGATAGAAAAAAAATGAGAGTAAAGCCAAGGATTTTGGAAAATATGATAGAACCCATCTTGCTGAGGCTTAAATTTTGATGCAGGATTTAGCAACCCAACAGAAACAGCTCAGGCCTAACAACAGGGCAGTTCTTTGAATTCATCAGAAATCATGTTTGTCCAGCACAGATATTCTTATGCTTTTTGACTTTTTCTTTTCATTTGAAGTCTTCCCTGCCATTGCTGTGCATTCTGAATATGAATTTGACATGTTGTACACTAAGAAGTGCACTGTTTACCTCGCTGATAGCTGGTGTGACAGAAGCAGGAACCAACACAGGACAGAATTTTTAAACAGCCATGGCCCTGCATGGCTTCAGCCCACGGTGTGCTTTGTGTGTTCTCCTTTTAGTGTTGAGGCAAACCACAGCTACAGGTAAATTTTCTGCTGCAAGGTTTTGTTTACTGGCAATTTTTTTGGGTTTTTTTTTTGTGTACTGGCAAAACACCTGCTCCCTTCAAGGAGAACAGGGCTGAGCAGTAACCCCCCCAATAAATTAGCCATCACAAGTGTCTTAAAACTGTGCCAGGAGAGGAAGGATGCTATCTGGTTATGGGTGGCTGGAAACTGGGAGATGGGAGGTCAGTTTGCTGCTCTTCAGGATTTTGGATTTGTCCAAAATGTGACTGTGCCTCAGTGTCCCATGTGTAGGGCAGGGTGAAGGAACTGCCTCTCCTCACTGCTCTGCTGAAACTCACACCTGGACTGCAGTGGCTACTTTGATAAGAAGCACCATTTATTACTTCATGGAGCTTTGGGAATTGTTCAGGACTATAAAGTACCTATTCCTATGGTAGCATTTCAATAAATGTGAATTTACAAGGGAAAATAAAAAACCTCTTGAAAATATTTCAGTATGTTCTAGGAAGCCTTTCCAATAACAACCTCTACACTTTTTTACAGAGATTTACAGAATTTATATCAATAAACTGTCTCACTTCCCAGGCAACAGATCTCACTTTCCAAGGAAATGAACTTTTCTTACATCTTTGAACGATGGAAAGGACTAGCTCTGCATGATTACAAAAATCCATGTTATCTTTGGTGTTCACAGCTTGATTCAACTGAATTGTAATGGCTGTGTCTGTGAAACTTGCTAAAAATTTATGAGTATTTCAGCTGTAAGTGGGAAAATTAATTTTCTGAAGCGGCAACATTGAGAGCAAATTTAAAGCTGAGTCTAGGGATTAAATCAAGAGAATAAGAAATAATTAAAATTTTATACTATGCAATCAGAAGGAAAATCTCCAAGACCTGTTACTTAAAACTACATGCTGATGGTAGAATTTTACATATGACTGAAAAGGGGGGATTTAAAATGTTCTGGGCCATTACCAAATCCCTATGTTTTTACTCTGAGCCATAGGGTGATTCTAGAAATAAAGCTTATGAGTACATAGAATAGTTCCTTTCATGTTAGTGGCTATAGCTTAGCTGAAGTTGTACATGTGTTTTCCTTGGCAACTTTGCACATGAAATAAAATATGTCTTAAAATCTGTGTTGCTACTTAGTGGTTGTTCCTGCTGTCTCCTCCTCTTTAGAACCAGTTTTTGTGGATTTTAATATCATTTATGCAGGCCTAAGTTTTGTGCTGTCAGTCTGAAGCAGAAGGAAGAGGAAAATGCAGCTTTTGACAGGGCTGCTTTTGTGTAATTTGTCATGCAAGAAATTTGGAATAAAAAGTTCCTTTACTACTACTTTGTAGTTTCAGAGGAAGAAAGAGGTTGGAAAGGATCTTCCAAAAATAGAGGATAAATGAAATTCCTAGTGTGAGTATCACTAATAAGGTTCTAGACAGATGGCCTAATTATAATTCTTAAATGTATATATGTATTTATATATTTTATATACATACTGTGAGTACTTAAACTGCCTCAGGGGGCTGTTCTGGCTTTTCTCAAGATACACCAAAATCTGAGGCTGTTTCACAAATGTTGACAAGTTTCAAAAATTAGGACAACTTTCCCAGAGTTAGGTGTTTCTCAATTTCCCTACCTCCCCTTGAGATATTAGCTCTGAATTTTCAGGGCAGGTGAATCCAAAATGCAGCAGACGCTGCTGAAAGCAGAAAAATCATTTCATGATGGCTTACTGCTTTTGGATTTCCTTTCTAATCTGCCCCTGAACTAATGAAGGCAGCTTGACTTGAAGATTAATTTAAATTCTAATGATCCATTGTAATAAGGCTGAATATCTATTTGGAGAATTTTAACGTGGCAAACTCAAACACAGCAGTGTGAAATTTAATGGACCCAACCGTTTGATATAAAATAAAGTTGAAATGCATTCTGGTTCTTGAATAGCTTTGTATCTCATTTTGCCCACCATAAGGCAGCCAATTTGAGGTTTCACAAGTGAGACCTGAGGTGTCACTGCAGGTGCAGGCTCAGGCTGGGAAGGTGGGACACTCTGCTTTTTGAGAGGCTTGCCTTGTTTGGGATTGGAAATTGCAGCAACCTACTGATGTTTGGAGATCTCTGCCTAGGAATCAAATTTGTAGCCTTAAATTTCTGTCTTGAATGCAATAGGGATAGATTTGTTGAGTCACAAGGCAGCTACATGAAAGAGATCTGAATTGCTTCTGCATCTGAATGCCAGGTTTAGCCTCCCCTGAGCAATCTAAGAGAACAGAAACAATTAAAAAATGAATGACACGTCCTTTGTGAATAAAGGAAAATGCAGTAAAGAATGCTGTTCTATTTTGTCTAATACATGGCTTAATTTTTACAAAGGGAATGGTAAACAGACCAGCTTTGAGATGAAACCAAAAACCCTCAGATGAGAGCAAATTACTGGATTTAAGAAGATCAGGTGGAAACAGAGCAGAAAAGTAAAGGTAAGTAAGTTAAATGTTTAGGGGTAAATGGAAATCAGCCTATGTGCCATTAGGCTCCAATAGCCTTTTTTTCCCCTTTTTTTTTTTTTTTTTTTTTTTTTTTTCAAAGGAAAGGTTTTGACCAAAGCATGCTGATGAAGGAGTGCTGTGGGTGACACAAGGGTGACCACTCTGCTAAATGCCACGATCCAGATGATTTTTTTCAGGACATGTGTGATCCCAGGCAGCTCTAACTGAGGTTACACATTAACTGATGCTATTCCTTGTGTTATCACCCAGTAATTAAACTCCAAGTGTTGTTTCAACATAAAGGCCATATGAAAAACAGAACAACAGATGGAAAATATTTCAACTGTGTGCCATGGGAAGCAGCTCTGTTTAAGGCAAGAAAACAAAGGAATAAAGAAAAAAAGTGAATCATGGCTGATGAGAGCTGGATGTAAAGTCAAAGACTTGGTAAAAGCTGAGAAGTAATTGTTAGGAAGCAGCAATTCCTTGTAATGGAAACCTCTGTAGGCCCTTGCAGTAACCTTGGAAAATTTATTGTGGTTTAGGAACTAAATTGATCTGGAGATTGGGACAATCAAGATAGTTCCTCTGTTACCTACCTTGATTTTAAAGCCCTCACTTGCCCACAAAGCCTCTGAAGGCCTCTGTGTAATGGCCCTTTTTGTCCAATCCAAATTTGTTTTCTGATATTTAATTTGGATACTAACACAGTTGTCATTTTCATTGAAACCAACAATTTCAGTTTAACCATTCACATTTTCACTGCAATTGACCATTTCTGCTTAAGCCTCAAAATCCTTTGAGAGACTTTTTATCCTCTTTCTGCAGAGGGAGCAGTGAAACACTGCAGCCCAGATTTCTAATGTTCATTTGTAATCACATTAAAATGTGATTGCTGTAGTTTGATGATTGACAAATGGGAGTTATAGACTAGATTAAAAAAAAAAATATAAACTCTGTGTACAGTAGATCAAAATCTGGCTAGAAAGATTGAGACCCTATAAGGATGAATGTTGCAATAAACAGTAAGAGGAAATAAAATTTTGATATTGGATTGTATTAAAACATTTCACAGCTGAGTAATTTGAACACAATTTAAATAAACAGAGGTTAAAATATTCCTCTTAAAAATAAAGCTCTTTGCCAAAATATTGCAGCTTCAGGGTCGGTAACTTTATTATTTCATGCTGCCACCTACTGCTTTGGAAATGGAATAGGAAAAAGTAATCAGTATCTTTTATCAGTCTGATGAGCCTATTTGCTCCTTTGTGGTGTTCTTAATGGGTGACATTATTTTTGAATGCTGAATGCTGTCCAGATCTTCAGTCTGCCATCCCTGCCTCTGTCCATTTTTGCTTATGAAAGGATGTACCTTCCAAACATAAGGATGTTGTCACTTCAAAAACTGCCACGGGCTCTGCCCCAAGCACTGTTATTCCTAAAATTATGGTAAAATATCAGTTAACACTCAATGTCGTGTGCCTGCTCTGTTAAAAACCAACTCAAGTCACAGCTTCTGTAATTTTATGGTTATAAAGGAATACACTGTGATTATAAAAAAGGTTTTTATGCTAATGTGAAAGTAGTTCTTTAAGCTGGTTTAGAGGCTTAGGACTTTTGGCCATACCCATTTAGTCGAAATTGCACTTAGTATACTTAGAATTAAAACAAAACAAAACCCAACCATATTTTATATTGCCATTTCTGCGTTTCCCAGCTACAGATATGGACTGCTGAGAATCCTGACAAAAACAGTGTTAATTTCTCAGTGTTTTTGAAGAAAATATTATATGCTTCCTGCATAAAGTAATTGGATAAAAAGAAAAAGGTTCAAATACTCAGTAGTGTTATCAGTAACTAGTACCAGAAAAATAATACACAAAAGAAGTCAACAATATGCTATACTTTTAAGAGGAGGAGAACAACATATAGTGAGTAGAAACTCAATATTAAAGACCCATTAAAACAATCCACAGTCATAGTGGCAAAATATCCAGCTGGAATAATCCACAGTGTGTTGGTGGACATTACTTCATGTTCTGCATTGCTTTCATGCTTTGTATCTTCTTTTCTTCCAGTGCCTTCAGGATTTTATCTAAACAGGAATGAAACATGAATTGTCATTAATGATGTCATTAACAATTTACAGTGCTTTTAAGTAAATCCAATAATGTATTAAGCAAACTAAAAATCCTTACAATGCCTTGGCTAGCAAACACCTGAAAATTAGAGTTTCTCAAAATAGTAGGTATTAAAAATGGAAAGTGGTGTGTACTGCCATAATGAAGGGGAAAATACATGCAAACTACCAAGTGGAATTTGTTTTGAGATCTTGCTTTGAATGCATGTATCTGATGGGCATTTCCCCTGTGTTCCTGTAACTCTTGCACTCCTGAAAGTTTCCTGTGACCTTGGAGGAAAAAATAAGCATGAAATCCTTACAGTTGTTGGCCTCCCTACCTGAGCTCTCAGTACCACCATCATCTGCTGAACTATTTTATTCC